TGAGACAGCAACGGTGAAGGATTTGCAGTATTGATGTTTTAGCGTGTGGATCGCATATTCAAGGCCACATTTTTGTCCTAGACAGAGTTGGTAGTTTGAACCGAGCGACAAGAGTTCAATTTTTAGGCTTTTGGTAATTGTTCGGCGTTTTATCTAACGCATAACTTCTCTTAGGCCTAAGTATTTTACTCCTGGATTCGATTACCTAAGAACTGTAGGCTGAACAAAGGTTTTGCACATATTTAGTGCATCTTCAGGTTTAAAAATTTAACTAATATGTACGTAATGATCAAAAATATAAAAAATGTCAAACACACTCATTAAAAACTATATATCAAATTGTTACTTCATTTATTTTATGCAATCAAATTTAAATATCCCGCCAATTTTATGATGAGAGTTTGTTAGTTTTCCAAATTTTCCCAAATTTTTGTTTTGAAGTTTATTTTCATGCTAAAATGCCAAAGTATTTCAAATAATCTGATGTTTTCGTCAAAATTTTTCAATTTTGGAACTTGTTGTGTTGTTGTTGTTTCAATGTAGCTTCAATGTTAGGATTTTTATTTGAGGGTATTAATCTACATGCGTTAAATGGTTCCGTTAGTTGTCTGGATTTAGTTCTTTGGTAGCCATTTTTTAGGCAATTTTAGCTATTAATTCTGAAATCTCAACTGATTATTGAGCGAAGCGTGCTAAAATACGCCTCCATTTGTTTGCATCAAGGCCAGATGGTCCATGAGATCCGAGCGTTCTCCTGGCTGCTTTCTTGATATGTTGACCGCTAATCTGATTAATTATCAATGGATGGAAAGGAAGTCTTTCATTTGAGACTGGTGTAATATAGTTCTCATCAATTGGTTCAGATGGTGGGTGCTACTCAATAAGAGCCTGTTCTACTGTCTTACCCTTGACGATCTCGTCCAGCGAAAAAACGCCTTTGGATGTTTCCGTTAGTTCAGCTATTGCGCTTGAGATTTTTCCAGTATTCATTAGTTTGTTGAACTTCACAATTATTTCTTTGCTGAGTTTTTTCTTTGCTGAGTGCTACATGAGTTTAAGGGCTCTTGGCCTGCAAAGAAGAGATGACCGCAGTTTTGCTGCCAACACCACTCCTTAGATTGGTCCTGAATAGAAAAATAATTTGGAAACTTGTGTTAGACTATTTAAAAAATTTTAATAAATTTCATAGCAGTTTCCTGAGAATTAAATTTCTGAGAAAAGGTCTCGATAACGACATTATACCAGACTTTTAACGGTTTCGCGTGCCTGATAAGGGTGTTTTTTTTGGGATCAAGCGGTGCACAGCTATCAACTGAAACTTTTGAGACCAAGCGGTGCACAGCTATCAACCTGAGAAAAACCAAGCAAATGCGGATTGGGCCAAGGCATCGCGTAACCTAGCAAAAGCAAGGCAGGTAGTGAGAAGGGGAATAGCTAAGAAGTGGTTGCCTTCGGTAATATTCTATCTGAACCATCAAGCAAGGTGTAGTGTCAATAACCGACACAAGAAAAAGCTTAAAAAGCTTTCAAAAAGACAGGATAGACCATTAAAACACTTGGATAAAAGGTCAGTTAGAATTTTAGATGATGTGATTTTGCCATTTTGGGTGCAGGAAGTCTTAAATTTTGGAGCAAAACATCCGGTACGAGACAAATTCAATGAAATTCATTTCCTTGAGGACATTGATAGCCCGGAGAAACCTTTCTTTGACACTTCCTAACCCGGAGAAAAATTATGTGAGATTGAAGCAGCTGCAAAGATATATGCTAAAAATGAGAAACAGAACCCCTCAGACAAAGGTGTTGAAAAAGCCAGAAAGTGTTTGAAGGACAACGGTCTTCTGGCAGTGTCGTTTGATAAGGGAGCGGGTTTTTGTGTAACGAAAAAGGAGACATATAAGAAGAAACTGGAAGGTTTATTACAGGCAGAACAATTAGTGAGAGGAAGAATCTGACAGACAGCGTGATCAAAAAAATTGAAAAAGACATAAGCAAAAAATTACTCGCCATGAAAAATAAGGACGAGATTAGCGAAAAACTGTATACTAGGTTGAGATCAACGGGGGCGCAGCCGGCTAGACTGTATGGATTAGCAAAAATACATAAACAAGGCACACCACTTCGTCCCGTCCCTTCCTAACCTGGTAACTGATATGACAACCTAAATAAAACATTAGTAAAGTACTTTGAGGAAATTGAGGGGGCAAACATAGAAACGAACACTCAAATGGCCAGAGAGATCTTGGAGAAAACTGAATTAGCCCTGAGGAGACTATATGAGCAAGTCAAGCCTCCGGAAACATCTCGCAAGACTACGAAAAAACTACTGACTTTGGCAGTGAGTAAGGTACACTTTAAATGCAATGGTTTTTGGTTTGTACAAAAAGACGGTTCAATAATGGGCGCCTCCCTTGCAGTAACATTGGCCAATTTATGGCTTAAAGATTACGATCCTGTATTAAAGAAAGATGTACCAAAATTGACTGTGCTAAATGAAAGTAACAATGAGGTCTGCCCTGGATGTCAGAAAAAGATGACATATCGGACTAAAGGTGTAGAAATTGAAGCTTGTTTAACTTGGTTTCACTTAGGGTGTGGTAACATATTGGAATCCGAATATGTAGACATCGCTGAAATAGTATGGTATTGCATTACTTGCAAAAAAACAACAGGAAGCAAATCGGACTGAGAATGGTGTTAAAAAATTTTCAAGATATGTGGATGACATAGTTAGAACTGTCAAGGGCGATCCTGGGATAGTTTAGGCTGCCAATAAGTTGCATCCAAACGTGCAGTTCACCATAGAAGAACTTGATAGTAACGGTAATTTGGCCGTTTTGGATTTCAATGTCAATGTGGACTAAGGAAAAAGTCACATGTGGGTGGTACCAAAAACCCATTCATACCGGCACCATTCTAAATTCCAGAGGTTGCGCAGCTTTGCAGTTCAAAAGAAACGTTTTTGACGGGATTTCATAGGGTTTTCAGAAGTACCTCAACACTGGAAAATTTTGACCAGGCATTGGAAAAAAGATTGGAAATAATGGATTGAAAATCCTTATCTGAAAAATTGGTCGGACAGGGTAGTGTTTGAAACTCTCAACAAGATCATTGAGGTAAAGAAAAATTTAGAGATGAAGGCATCTGAACCGAGAAATGATAAATGGTTAAAAGACTCACCCCCTTTTACAATGCATTATCGAGGCAATTCATCTCAACTGTTAGCTGCAAAGGTTCGGCAAGTATCCGGGGCACAAATAGTTTTTACAACAAAAAAAAGAAAAACATGCTCGCCATCCCTCGAAACTTTCTTTGCTTGTGAACTGAGATCCAAAACGGTGTATAAGCTCACATGTTGTGGATGTAACTCCACCTAAGTCGGTCAGACAGTCCGACATTTAGCCACGATGGTCGACGAACACCGCAAAGGGGACTCTCGAGTAGGGCTACATTTGTTAGAATGTAGTAAGGAGGTAGGCGGTACTGCTGAGCTGAAGTCAGAGATAATGGACCAATCAGCCAACACTCATAAGCTACTCACTTTAGAGGCTTTGCATATTCGGAGGGAGAGGCCAAAGATCAACACGCGATGAATTCAGGAGCCGGGAATCAACACTTATATTATAGTCTATGTACAACATGGCTGAAAGTTAAAAAAAATGACATGTCAGGATCAAAATTATTCCCAAATTCAAATTTTATAACCATGAAAGAACAAAATCTAAAAAACCTCAGAAATTTACAGGAAAATGTTATAAATGATTACGTAATTTTTCATGTAATTAAAGTTGTTTAAATTTGATTGGTCAAAAAGTTTTAGAAATAAATCGTGTATGAGACTTTCTATAATTTCCGGTACAGATTTTTAAAACCTGAAGATGCAGAAAAATGTGCGAAAACGTTTGTTTGAATTTACAATTTTAACGAACTCAAAAACAACAATTTGCTTTGACATTTTTTGTTTTCGGATTGTTTGTCGTCTAACTACAAGTTATCAGTTAATTGAACGCTTAAAATACACTAAAAGCTTGCTTAATGGTAATGGTTGTCTTTTTTGTCTATTCTTCTGAGGTTGAATTTTCGTATTTTCCAAAATATGTTGACTTGTTTTAACAATTATTATTTTCGTTCTTTTGGTTTTCGGATCAATTGGCGTCTAATCATGTATTGATGGCTTAGTGGACGCTCGGAAAATACTAATCTTACTTGATGGTAAGGTTGTGTTCCTCGTCTGTTTTTTTTGAGATTAAATTTTTTCTTTTTTCCAAAAACATTATTGAATTTTTTTATGACAACTACTTCCTTTGGTGTTTTTGTTTGCGGATCAATTGGCGTCTAACCATGCGTTGTGGCTTTTTGGACGCTAGGGAAATACTAAAAGAGTGCTTAGTGGCTGTGTTTGTTTTCTGTTTTTCTTAGATTGATTATTCCGTATTTCCAAAATAATTGTTGATATTTTATGTCAATTTCCTTTGCCATTTTTGTTTTCAGATCGGTTGGCGTCCAACCGGAAAATACCAAAAGCGTGCTTAGTGCTTGTGGTTGTGTTTCTCTCGTCTGTTTTTCTGTGATCGAATTATAAGTAGTTTCAGTTTTTTCACTTAGTTATGTACATTTCACAGACCACAAGCTGTGAAATGTTCAAGTAAAGGTATTAATTAACTTTCGAAGAAAACGGAATTTAGTAGCTTGCAGAAATTTTTGCTAAAAAGTAAATTTCAAACTTTTTCGCAACTATGTGCATCGTCAGGATTTTTACAATAAACTGATCTAAATGACGATTAGTAGCTTGCATTGGTACTCTAAATTAGTAGCTTGCATTGGTACGCTTTGTATCGCAAGTGATGCGAAGCTGCGCTTCGCCTCTGTGTGAGTACTTGTTTTTGTCCGTCGATTTTTTATGCACAATTCTGGTCGATTGTAAGATTTAGTTATTTCCGTTGGCTCCTAGCTTTGCCCTTCTTGTTGTAGCTTTGATTGAGTTTTACTGATTCAGAGAGATGAGTTCGAAGAAGGTTTCAATTCCTAATGCCAGTGGAGACTCTGCTGCTATGAACAAAATTGATTTCGCCAGTTTGGATTTGGAACAACTGGGAGTTGTTAGACAACAAATTGTCAGAGAAGCAGAACTTATAGAACACTCTCTTTCGAGCTTGAAGTTTGCCCAGCAGAGATTTATAAACAGCCATAAAGCAGTTAGCAACGGAATGAAAGCTGAAAATGAGGGCAAACAAATTTTAGTTCCCCTGACTGACTCCCTGTACGTACCCGGTAAACTGAGAAATGCTAGCAAAGTTCTGATTGATGCAGGGACTGGTTACTATGTCGAAATGAACTCCGATAAAGCTTGCCAATTTCTACAGAAACGTATTGATTTCGTTAGTGAAGAAACAGCTAAAGCTCAGGGAATCTTGAACCAGAAGATTGATATGCAAAATGTCTGTCAAATGATGATTCAAACTAAAGTATCACAGCTTCAAGAAGTAGCTAACATGCAGCAACAGTTTTCGAAAAGCAACGTGAACTCCGTTGTATCAAAGTGATAAAAAGTGTGTAAATAAAAGCGCGAGTGTGCATACTTAAGCCCAAATTTAAATATTTCTATGCATATTTTGGATTTCGAAAGCGAGTCTGGTGGCTTAGTTAAAACAGACCGGAATAATGCTTGCCAGGCAAAATTAAAGCATGACTAATTTGTTGCCATTGCTTTATAAGTTAGTGTTCCGACCATTTGAAAAATGCAGAGGAACTTTGTTTTCGGGTGTTTTAGTTTTTTCTTGTGTTCCGCGCCAAATCAGGAACCACCAGTAATCATCGGAATGGGCCGAGGTATATATCATATTAAAGCCTTTTCAGTCGTGATTCAAGCGGCATCAAAAAATTCTCAGTGAGAAAAACCGGTTTGAAACATTGATTTTTTGTCTAATTTTCAGCTAATAAGGTCAGCGTGGAGGCTTTCAATGGCTCAATTATTTTTTTCGAGCCGTTTTTTTTTTTAGCAAAGTTAGTTTTTGGTTTTATTTAGCGTGATAGCCTTGAGAGGACACCGGAAGAAACAGCAATACCTGTAGTACCCGAGACACCGACATAAACATTTTGTGCCACAATCAATAAACATTTCTCATCGAATATCATTCCAGCATAGACATGTACACTTTCAGTATTTCTCTATACTTTATACCGATGGTTAATTCAAAACCCTTTGCTTGTTTTTGTATTTAGCGCCATTTTGATAATCAAAATGTTCAAAAATTCAGAAAAAAATAGGAAAAATTTGTGAACTTTCGTTAAAAAAATTTAACGATTTTTTTTAGTTTTTTTTTAAGTCTTTTTCACTCAAATATGTTTTCCAATTGGCTTATTCGACTATGGCTGTCGAATATGCCTAATTTTATTTTTTCGTTCAGATCTTTTTTGCGCCAAACGCAAAAAACGAGCCCTGTTTGAATTTTTTTTTTGTATTTGTAAAACTATGGTCGGAACATTCTCTGCTATTAGCACAGTAACCGGCTATCCTTATTTACACTGCGATCAGCAAGCAGTATGAGACTTGAACATAGGTTTTTTCAGATTACAAATGTTTAAAAAATCACATCAATCAATTGGGCCTACAGTTGGAATGTTTATTGGGATATCTGATCAACACATATTTTGAGCATGTGTGCATTTTAAATTCCCGTTCTTGTTTTCATGTTGATTGTAAACAAACTCTGAGTTTTAAAAAATTTTCTTTTCCTTTTTGTATTTTTTTGCTTGAAATATTGAATGAGTGTCAATGATCTTTCGTGGTTTGAGTTTTGATTATTTTTTGCTTAATTACCCTTACAATAAACAAGGCTATTGCAATCGGGTACGACTTTTTTTTCTCGTAAATATTTTGTTCGCAGAATAGTTAAATGGTAAATTAATGGACTTGGCATCAGCAGCAAGAACTTTGACATGTTTGTCAAGCGCTCGGGATATAATATTTGTACATAATTTTCTTAATTTCAACTGTGATATCAATTTGTTGAGCTTGCTAATCAGTTTCAGAGCTGCTACCAATACCAGCAGCCTCAATACTTTAATCTTCTAACACATCAATCTTATTCATTATTGCCTTGCCGCTCAAGTCCGCGACTTGATGAACAAGTGCGCGACTTGTTTTCATGTTGGAGTTTTACAGATTTTTCTTTCCCGTTCTGTTTTTTGCTTGCAATTTTGATTTAGTGTCAATGATTTTTCGTGGTTTAACCTTTGATTCCTTTTTGCTTAATTACGTTTGCGGTTAGCTTTTTCTCGTAACTAAATTTGTTCACAGAATGGTCAATGTTAATTGTAATGTCCTTGACATAAAGCGCATGAACTTTGAATTGTTTATAAAGCACTCCGATACCATTGTTGTAAAGGATTCTCTAAATTTGAACTGTTTATTATCAATTTGTTGAGCTAGCTCATCAATTTCAGAGCTGCTACCAACACCCGTAGCCTTATTAGTTCAATAGGCTAAGAAATCAATATTTTTCATTCAGACTTTGCCGCTCAGATGGACGACAGTAAATTTGGTCTCGGTTCTTAATCTTGATCTAAATAATATTCAATTGGGGTTTCACTTGATATATGTTTAACAAATCCATATGCGGAAATATTTAAGTTTTTCAACATATTGTTTTTTGCATGTTTTAAGGAAAGTTTTTTTGCACGTTTAAGCTACATCGTTTTTTGTATAATGCTTTGGAAATTTCACTTGGCACATTGTTAACAAGTCCTTATGTTCTTCTATTAGAAGGTCAAAGCCTTACAAGGATTGTTTTAAGTACTCAAGTCGACGATTCAAAATCCATTGGAGTGCGAATGCTATAACTCTACAACTTTCCGATATTCGCAATGTAAAACTTTCATAATTTTGTTTCACAAATGATTAAATTTATCTTCGAATTGTCAACCCTATAGTGGGTTGCTGTCAGGGTAAACGCAGGATTTGCAAATCTGGCGTCCAAGTATGACTGCTCAAATTTCTTTGCTTTTCGAGATAATGTGTTTCTTAGGATTTCATTTTTTTCAGAAGCTTTGGATAAAAAGTAACTTGAAGTTCTCAACCCTATAGTAGGGTGCTGTCAGGGTACACTCAGAGGTTTCAAATATGGCGCCCAAGTATGGCTGCTCACATTCTTTTGGTCTTCGAGATTTGACGTTTTTTATGAATTTTTCAATGGTTTTTTTTTAAAACATAAGTTTAAAAAAGTAACTGAACGTGAAATTCTCAACCCTATAGTGGGATTCTGTCATGATACACTCAAACGTTGCAAATCTGGGGTTCAAATTTGACTGCTCAAATTCTTTTTTGTTTTCTAGACATGCATTTTTGTTCGAAAACATAAATATAAAAACAACTAACCGAACTTGAAATTCTCCACCCTATAGTGAAATGCTGTCAGGGTACACTCTGCCCTAAGGCGGGTGCTTGTCAAGTACACTTCGGAGTTGCAAATCTGGCCTCTAAGCATGACTGCTCAAATTGTTTTGTTACCCGAGATGTAGCAATTTTTAAGGTTTTCTCATTTTTATTTTCTAAAAGTACTTGAATTAAAAAAAACTAGCCGATCTTGAAGTTCTCAACCCTATGGTGGGATGCTGTCAGGGAACAATATAGGGTAGCAAATCTGCCCTCTAGTTTTATCTGCTCTAGTTATTTTGATTTTGGAGATAAAGTGATATTAATGAAAAAGAAACCCATGATAGATGAGCCCAGTTTATCTTCATGGTTGTATTTCATGGTTTTGGTACATGTTTTCGGAAGCTCTTTTTACGTTCAACGATCTATTTGAAGCTTCTTAGGTGCAAGTCCTGCTCCAGTAACTTCATATTTCTGCATATCTGGTCACTTGGTCTGGATGTAAAGACTACGCCTGGGTGGTAGAGGTCTTGAGTTCGAATCTGACAGTACCTGTTTTTTTTTTCGAACAGGAAATATTCCGTTTCAAAAAATTTGTCAGCTTTGTATTTGTCTGCTTACGTTCTGTCGGCTTAGTTGCTACATCGTATAATTTTTTTTCCAGTACTCAAGTTACATCGTAGTTGGTTTTAGTGTTTTTTTTAGCTATTTGTAATTTTACTAGCTTTGACTTCGTATATTCTTTTTTTTTTCGATTAAAAATCGCAAGTGGTGTGAAGCTCAGCTTGGCCTCTGTTAAAATTATGTTGAATTAAAGCATAAAGAAAGATGAATTGAGTTTTCTAAGTTACGAAAATGCGAATGACTTAGAAAAACCTGAATGACTTTTAGTTTAGGTTCGAAAAGGATTTTAATTTTTAGACTTCCAGCGGAATAAAAAATTACATATTGACCAGGTTTTCTATATTTTGTTTGCTTATGAAAAAACTGTCGATATCAAAAGATTCTTGAAATTCAAAGAGCTTCAACTTAGTGTTTTTCTGCAATCCATTTTCCCATACTTTTTTCAAGACAATTATCAACAAAACTGGGGACCGTAACTTGAGCATAAAGATAAAATAGCATAAAAAATGAGCTTCTGAAGAATATGTACAGTTGCGTTTTAACCAATCAGATTTCACCTTTTAGGATTACTTACGAGAAGTTCAAGCTGCTTCATGGTTAGAGACCGAAAGTTTGGGTACAATTGAAAACGACAAAAGACTATCTCAACTTTTATTGTTCGTCTTTTGCTTTGAAAATTAAAGAAAAAATGGCCATATCACAGCTAGCAAACGTCTATGCCTTAGAGGGCGTAGCGCTCGATATAGAAGTTTTTCTACAGAACTGTCATTAACGCCAAACAAACAAAGTCACAAAAAGCGCGCGGCAATGCGTAGTTTAGCTGGAAAATAATTTATGCTATTTTGTTTAGTTGCTTTCTATAGTGCCTCAATAAATCTACCATTTTTAAAAGTGATAAATTTAAATTAGTATCACATACTGATTGATTTACGTGCACAATACCATTCGTGCTGAATTACTTTGACTCTGCTAAAATCTTCGGTCAGCTAAAAACCTAGCCAACCTAGACAACTTTTGGATGTATCACATATAGTCCAAAGGTCCACTCGCTTCTTTCTTCTTTGTTGAAAATTTCAGTTTGTCATTTATTACACTTGCGAAGCGTAGTGTCACATTAGGAAGTCCTTTTTTTAAACCTAATTCGCAAATAAAAGTTCTCGTTGGATGACACTTTTGTAGCAATAGCTTTTTATCTGGCTTACTTTTGCTGCATCAATGTTTTATATTCTTCACTTTTGCTGCATTAGCATTTTATCTGACTTAATTTTACTGCATTAGTATTTTTTTTATTAATCTGGTTTTTTCGTGGCTATTGTTTGAAGATTTTCCAGCGACCATAGCGCAGATGCTAAGACGTTTGACTCTTTCTCTCGCGGGCGGGAGTTCGATTCCGTCAAATAGCAAAGTTTTTTCTTGTTTTGTTTTTTCTACTTTTTTTGAATAGAGCGAACTTTTGCCGTTTTCTAGCTTGTGTCCTTGTTGATGATTTATTTGTTTGCTACTACTGACTTAATTTATTTATTTGTTTATCTGACTTAATTTTAC